TAGACCCACGCCACAGCATGAGCATTGCCATAGTGTTGAGAATGCTACTTATTGTGCAATGGAGTAAAAAGGCTCACTCTTTCCTTTCGGTAGAAAGCGTGCTCTTTAAATTTCTTGCCAGGCTAAGTGACAGATGAGACAATTTACATTCACTAAGATTTCAGTAGGTTGACGCAATAGCCTTGGCAACAAAATTCTACCAAACGAAAAGCATCAGATTGCACAGAATGGTGTTCATAGCCAGTGGGTCTCCACATCGACTTCCCTGGGAAGTGTGCCAAGATAAAAGGCTTTAAAGTTCCCATTGCTACTTCAGGATTATAAACTACAGCTTTTTGAGCTCTCATTAGACTAGGAAAGTTGATTGCCTATAGCAAGCTTCTCTGACCAACCCTGGCAACCTTGAGACCATTCCCCATCCATCAAAGTAGAAGACCTACTACGCGTTAAATTACAGTAGAACTCCCGTTCTGCAGAATTCTCCTTCTTGTCGCAAGCATTCCCTTGCTTTTCTGTTGTTTTTCCATTTACTCCTTCTCCCATTCACAGTTCCCCACATCCTCCCACGTGCAGACCTTAACTAACTTGCATAAAAATCACGCAATTAGTCAGGGACAAAGTCAGGAGCTAGGGTATTGCAAACCCAATAATGTTGCCTGGGACAGAAGGAAGATTTTGAGGCTTGTCTTACCTAAGCCTGATAGTTAAGCATTTTTAATACAAACTATCAAAATGGATGCATAAATACCTCAAATACCTTGGGATTTAGTGTAAAAATGAATGAGCTTTATGGACGTATAGTTGGAACAATGGATATAGTTGGCACTACTGTATCTTTTTCTGCTGTGTGAGCCATTGAGGAAAAGCAAGCTCTCACATACGATGGTTTCACCTGATCTCTCAGTAGACTGCTGTGGGCAAAAGACAAAGCCCGTGGCATGCTCTTTCCCCACCCTTCTGCTACGCATTCAGAATGGCAGCCTGCAAACCAGGACCGTGATCACCCCTCAGCAACAGTGAAAAGAGACCGCATAAACCACAAATTTTTGTTTCCATGATGGGCCATGGCATTTATTCCAGTTACTTCCATTGATGGCCCAAAGAGGGAAGTGAAACCAGTTGTTTCAGTATTGTTCCACTGTGATCGGTCCGGGAACTCGGGATATACTGTTAAAAATAAGGCATAGTTCATAGAAAAGCTTGGCAGGTTAGCTTCAACACATAAAAGCACCTCAATTCTCAACAAGGCAGAGGTGACAAATTTGAAAAACTGGGCGCATTATGTTGATGATAACCAAGAAAATACCATCTAATAATAATAATACTACTTATTAAGTGCTTACTACAAGGTGCTGCTATGAAGTCTGTGCTATTATTATCATCTCCATTTTAGAAATGAGAAAACGGAGGCACAAAGTTAATTACATGAAACCTGCACAAGTCACACAGCTAGAAGTGGCTTAGCTGGGGTGTGAACCTGCTCCAAGGTCAGTGCTTTAAACCACTAGCCTACAGTTCTGTTAACCTTTAGGAAACTTCTGTGCCTTACAAACAAGATTAAATGTTTGCAAATGCTTTAAAGCAGAATAGGTGTGATGCCAACAAATGAAATGTAAAATATTTCATTGGAGGAGGGCATAAAACAATGCTTTTTGAAAAATAAAACAGTCAAAGATCATTTGACCACTTTGTTGCTTTGTAACTATTAACCAAATTACTATTTTAAAATCCTGCAATTTGATTATTAAATTATATCTTTTATATCTTGGTACAATTCCCTTTCCTTGTGTTCCGAAACAAGTTCTGGAAAATAGAAAATTTCAAGATTAAGCCTCTGTGCTCGAGGTTGAGGAGCAGCAGGAAATAAGTGGACACTATTAACTAGGGATGACTTTGGAGTGGTGCCTCCTTGGGTTTCAGTTAATGGAGGGAACGTGTTCAGTGTTGAAGCTCTTAGGGAGGTTTAATAGCACTTTGAAATTAACATTCCTGAACTCGTAGGCAACACAGTCATCTGTGCTGTCAGTGGATTTTAGAGGCATGCCAAAAAGATCTGGCAGGTGAGAGATGGGGACACTGGAAGCCTCAGTAAAAATGCCAAATTATCAATGAGAATGAATGTTTTCATACAGGCAAGTTAATCTTAGCTCTTATAGTGTGATGAGGCTAGGACCAAAAGTCCACAGGACTAGAATCTAGTCCTTTCTCTGAGCTACCTAGAGAACAGGAACAATCTCTCAGTTCTTCATTTTCCAATTCCTAAAACAATTAATGGACTAAATGGTTTCTAACCTCTTTGATTATCTAGTAAAAGCTCACAACTCTCTCCCCCTCTCTCTCGAAATGTGCAGGCATAGATTCAATGGAATTCTTGAGCCCCTAAACCTCATCATAGAACCCAAGTTAAAAACTGGTAGGTCAAATCTCTCACATTCTTTACAATGCCTACTTTGGTGATTCTGTTAATTTGTAATGCGGAGAAGTTAAGATACAATGGGTGCGTTTCCTTGTTTGGGAGCAAGGCACAGCCAGCTAGCCCAGAATATGGAAAGATGTGGGAATAGCATGACAAAGGGGATCAAGAAGGTTATTGGGCTAGTTGGAGCTGGTGGCAAGAGGGAGGTCATTGAAGTGAGAAGCTCTGCTCTGTGCTGAGGACACACTAGAGCGACTTGACAGTGTTGCTCTCAGGGGAGGGGAGACAAAGATTTTAATTTTGCTCTCCTGCGTTAGTACACTTTGCTTTATGCATGGTCCAGACTGGCTAATCAGGATCTCGTTAAGGAAAAGCGTAGCATTGTTTGAGTTCTCTTTCCCACAGCAGAGCTAAAAGTAAACAACAGCCAAAGATAAACAAGGAACATTGCTTTTTCCTGTGTTGTACAATAGTAAGTCTAATTTATTGACAATATTGTCGGTGGTGTAAATACTGAATCTTACAATGGACTTTTTAAAGAGCCTGCTCGTTTCTAAGCTTTACCAAGCCAGCAGACTTTCTTTTGTTGTTAATGGAATTTGTTTGCTAAATCAGGATTTCTTAAATAACAGGCTCTGTGTGCTGGAAAACACAAGAGACCCACTTGCTACTCAGTCCAGTTTTTTGTTTTGTTTTGTTTTTAATGTTTTGTTTTAATTCTCCAAACCAATGAATGGCTGAATTGCAACTTTTCTCTGCTTTTGTTTCGTAGAAAGAAAGATTTATGAGTAAAGAATAAAGTTTATAAATCTCTGCTTCTGAATCTTTTGGGGCTGTCTGGATCATGGTGTGGGGAAAGATTCCTACCAAAGTCCAGGAAACTGTGAACCCACAACGCCACTGTTCCTCCTCTCCCTCATACCCGGTTATCCACATAAACCTAAATGGAGGGCCTGGCCCCATGGAGCCTCGAGTTCCAAACAAAGCCAAGACTGGCCTAGATTACAGTCCTGCTTTGTGCAAGAAAATTGTGTTTACCGAGATCTGCTTCACCATTCCTTCTTGATTGATTGCTTATTTACTTGTGGCTGTATTTCCAAAAGACTTTAAGCTGACTTTGATATCCTTAAAGTCAATTTTGGTATCCTCTCATTTTGCACTTTGTCTGGTCCAACCCACATCCTACCCCTAAGCTTATTCTCCCAGTAATAACACACACCCATTTATACGTGACCAGACTTTGCCAACACACTGGATCTGTCTTACTCATCTGATGATGCCTTGCCCTGCCGTAGTGTTAAGACATCTCCACTATCAAGAATCAGACACTGGAAACACACCCTGTTCCACACTTACTGTGTCAGCAAACATGACTGAGCCAAAGCCCAACAAGTGAAAACTTTAGACTTGTTTTCTTTAGGGTTTTTGAAATATACTAAGGTGCAGTTCAAATCCCTTTTCTACACCTTCATATTGTGAAGGTTAGTGCATATCCTTTCTGCCAATATTTTATACTCTTTGTGAACTACATAGAGTATTAATTTATATGAATGTACCAATCCTTCTGCAATGTGTTTGTTTAATCAATATAGTGTTTCAGAGGTTATTCCAAGGTGATAGAAAGTAGTTTATTTTACTGTAGTATTCAAATTTGTTGGCATTCATATTATTTTCTTATATCTCAAGTTATATCCCTATTTCATTCTTAACATTGTTTTTGTGCCTTTTTCTTTTTAATGATCTGTAATGCCAATGATTGTTAGTGTCTTTTCAAAGAAGTCGCTTTTTAAACAATTATACTTCATTCATGTAATCAGTAAATTCAATTGAGTAACTATTATGTAGCAGGCTCTGTTCTAAGTGATTGGAATGAAAAAAAAAGTGGAAAAATAAGTGGATCCTAGATTGCTACTATTGTGGAGTTTATGAAGCAGAGACAAATAAAAAACTAACATAAAATATAATTAATTATATGGGATATTGTAAGTAAGAAGTGCTATGGAAAAATGGAGCAGGGTGAACAGGATCAGAAGTGTTGTAGGGTACGAGGGGACTGTGGGTTGCAGTTTTAAAGAAAGTGGTTAGGAGAGGTGTCATTGAGAAGATGAGATTTGATCAAAGATTGAAAGAAGGCAAGGAGGTTTCCACGTGGGTATCTGGGAAGGAATATTATTGGCAGAGGGAACAGCTGGTGCAAAGAGCCTGAGGCCGGAGCATGCCTGATATGGCTGGGGATTGCAAAGAGGCCAGTGTGGCCCAAGTGGAGTGAGTGAGAGAGAAAAGAAGTTAGAGAAATAGGTAAATGTGATGACGCTAGGTTTACACTGAGAGGGGTATGGGAGGAATGGCATGACCTGATTTGCTGTTTCCAATGTAAATAGAAGGAGAGTGGAGAAATTAAGAGGCTGTTGCAGTAATAGAGGCAAGAGGTAATGGTCACTTGGTGCAAGGTGATGGCAATGGGAATGCAGAGGTGAAGTTGGAATCATCTCTCTCTGCTGTTTTTGTTTGTTTCTATTTCACCAATGTCAGCTTATATCTTTATTATTGTCTTCCTTCTACTGTCATTAGTAGAATAATTAATCACCTTTTCTTATCTATTTTGTTCTAGTAATTATAATTAATATAATAAAACTGGGTGTGTAGAAACTCTTAGCCAACTTTCATTTTGTGATAACTTGATTTTATATGTGAATACAAAAATTTAAAAATTTTTTAAATTTAAAAATTTTATTTAACATTTGGCTGAGCATTCCTAAGAACACGGGAACAGTAATTACTTCCTCTAAATCTTCCCAAATGTAGCTGGAAGATCAAGTGCAGGGTAGGCCAGGAGGTTACCCAGGCATTTTTCTGAGCCTCTTGAAAACCAGTGAAGGTCAGTCTACAAAAAAAAAAAACACATTACATTTCATTCCAATCAGATCTAGCCTGCAAACTTTAAGCAGGTTAAAATCTGAATAACACAAACCTGGAAGAATCTGCCTCAGTAGATGACAGCACTGCAACAAGCTTTTCTGAACATTTGAAGAGATTAGAGTTACGTGTCACAGTAGATTATTAACATCAATTAATCTGTTTTGCTTTAGGAATGGATGCCTGCTAGAACTTTCATTTATGAAGTACTCCATCCTCTAAGGGTCACCCTTCCATTTAGTGGTTTTGACAGCTTGGCCCGATTCCCCATCACAGGAAAGGTGAGGAGTACAGTGTCCTCATCACATCTCCATGGGAACGTGTGGTTTGGATTCCTACTTTCCTCCTATTCCCCCTGTCCACTCTGCATCTAGCTTCTTTCATGTGTAGTCTTCCCTCTGTCTCTTATCGACACAGACATGTAACATAGCCTCCTTCTGATTTTTATGTGTCCTGCCAAATTCTACAAGCGCAAGTCAGGATGAAGAGCAGACAAACAGTGTAATGGACATTTTGCTTGACATCCTTGTAAAGCTTCCCCTGCCATCTGCAATATAGTGACTTTCTCAATGGCTCTATTTCTTCTTCATTATCCAGCCTGCCACGTGTTCTCTGTCCTCTACCCCCTTTTATGTCCTCAGCTCTCACTGCATCCCTCTTGGGCTGTCCCTGGAAAAGAACCAATTTCTTCTTCCTTTTAAAGAGCAAATCAACTTTCCCTTCGTCTCCTTTTCTTTCTCTCTAGTCCCATGTGTTTATGTCCCAATGTCCTATGAAGAAGTTTTGCTAAACAAATTATGTCCCTAAGAAGAATTCTGTTTATCAGATTTTGAAATAATATCTTTTTCTCCCTCAACATGTACTTTACAACCATCTAACAATTTTTTTGCTTAACCCCAGTTTTCTAAAATGCTTTGACTAACTCTGATTTTGTTGAATAATGAAATTTTCAAGAATGTAGTATTCAAGAATGTGATGGGTAAGCTATTATTATTTTGTATTTATATAATTAGCTAGCCCAATTTAGAGTAAATCAAGTGGCATACTTAGGCCAATATGTAACAGCAAAAGGAATCCAAAAAGATCTCGAATTTTTAGTCAAATTGAAAAGCAAGTATAGCTTTGGCATCAAGATCATAGATAAATTCATATATCTGCCTGCCTAGTTTCAAATCTTCCTCCATCACTTACTGGCTGTGTGAGCTTGCACAAGTGATTTAACCTCTCTGCTCTTCAGTTTCCTCATCTGTAACATCCAATAATAATAATAACTATAATAATAGTTCTTATAGATGTTGTTAAGTAATAAGTGAGTTAGTACATATAAAGCCCTTAGAAAGATGCTTGGCACCTAGTAAGCACCAAGTACACATATTAGCTAAGATTCTCCAACTCACACCACACACCTTGGACTTGAGAACAAAAATATGAGGTAAAGAAAGAGGCTGACAGATTACGGTTTTATATTAAGTATTACAGATATCTGACATTTAAAATATACTTAATGAAGAAATCCCTGTGTTTCAACTTATTCTAATAAATGCCAAATAAGTCGAAAATATTCATAAGGAAGTAAGACATGCACCCTTAATGGTTCTTAATATTTTTTTCTGGCCCCTTGGAAAATCTGATAAAAGCAATTTACTCATTTCAAAAGCTATGTTAAAACAATAGTGCTTACATATTGGATTCACAATGCCCGTGAAGCCCTTCCTTGTACCTCAGGTTAAGAATTCATGGCTTAAGAGTTTCTGGTAGGAAATCCCATACAAAAAAATGTTTTAATTGTTTTTAGTGTTAAGGAGTACAAAACACAGATGACCTCTTTGTTGTCGGAAACTGATAGATCTGAAGTTTTACCCTCCTTGCTAGCTAAAAATTAGCCTGCCACAGTTTACAGATACTGCCAGATATGAGAATTCTGTGTCAGAGGCAAGGCAACTTTAATACCTATGACACAGCAAGCAGCACCTCTCATGTTCGCATCGGTTCCCCCGCCCCCCAGGATGCACAGGGGCAATGCAAAAGCAGCCTAGGTGGATTTGCATCACAGGTGAGGATCCTCAACTTTAGGAAAGCCTGATATTTTATAACAAGCTGCAGGCAAACCTATCTGATCTTTGGGCTGGAAGGACAGACACAACTTTATTATACTAGACAGTAAATAAATCTGCCCTCTGCTCCAGAGGGAAGTACTGTCTCCATCTTCCATTCCATCTTGCATTCTTGAAAAGATAATCCAGGAAAAAAGTTGTCAGTATTTCTGCTTACAAGCCATGCAGAAACTGAGATCCATGGAGAACTGTCTCCCAACATTTGTTCCATAAAGTTATCGGGGAAAAATATTGTCATATGTTAGTGGGAGAGGGGGAATAAAGTTAGTCATGTGGATGGATAGGCAGTTAGTGATCTCTTCACTATAACAGGAGAAATAAGAAGGGAACAAGATATTCATAGTGATTGTCTTCAAGAAGTTTACAAGCTTCAAATGGATAAGCCTTAAAGTAATTAATTGCAACATGGATAAATGCCACCAGAGGAAACCAAATGGATTTATAAAGTTATATATTGGGGGGACTTGATCTAGTTCATGATGTCAGAGAAGGTGTCCCTGAGGAAGTAGCATTTGGAAACAAGTCCTAACAGAGTAGTAGGAATTACCAGGTTAAGAGTAAGGAATACAATGTTCTGAGCAGAAGGAAGATCCTACTGGCTGAAGGAAGCCTGGATCATTGGAGGAGTTACAAGAAGGCCAGGACTACTAGAAGACAGTAAAACAAGCAGGGCACAGATTGGATTTAGACTTGATTCTGAGAGCAGTGCAAAGTCACTGAAGGGTTAAGAGAGAGAGTGCCCCTACTGTATTTGCATTTTTGAAAGCCCTCCCTCCCTCACATTGTTGTATAAGGAACAGGTTGCAGGGGGATAGATGAATGCGGGTAGTGGAGTTGAAGTTTATTACCATAAGCCAGGCCAGAGGTGATGGTGATCTGGTCTATAGACAGTGGCAGTGAAGATGAAGAGAAATGAATGGATTCAAAAAATATTTATAAAGTGTAGTTGTCAGGCCTTGGTGATTGATTTGATTTAGAGGAAGTAAAAGAAAGTCATGGATGATTCTCAGATTTCTGGCAGGGGCAACTGCACAGGCAGAGTGCCTAGAAAGAATTAACTAGCCTCTTGGGGATTTAGCTCATATATTCACTTCTATTTCAGTGACAGCAAGCTTTTTAGATATATACACATAGGGAACCTGATTCTCTCCAGAGCTCTAGAGACTGACTTTGGTGCAGATGAAAGATGAGCTGTAGGGAAGTGAGACGTCACAAGTCCCTTCTAACCTCAATATAGAGCTCTTTTTTGCTTGAAGTTATTGAAGAAAGAATACCCTTATGCTCTCAATTGGTAAAAAAATTACACCTCAAGTTTTCCTACCAGTGTGATCCCTTCCTAACTGTACAATTTAAATTAGGGTATAATACCATCATTAACGCTCCCTGCATTCCCAATGTGTTAATTCTGAGGCTTATGTCCTTTTCTCATATCGTCTTACTGCCCACAGACATTCTGAATGCATAGTAGATATGCAGCCATATCAAATATGTATTGAGCCTAATGTTCACAATGTGTGAGTTATTCCTTAGGATTAAGGAACTCCTGGAAGCATCTTCTTGGAATATCTAAAATGCAATTGACAAGGGACTGGCCGGTCCCAGGGCCGGGTGATTGGGTTCACGCGCTCCACTTCAGCTGCCCGGGTTTTGCTGGTTTGGATCCTGGGCACGGACATGACACTGCTCATCAGGCCATGCTGAGGTGGCATCGCACATAGCACAACCAGAAGAACCTACAACTAGAATATACAACTATGTACTGGGAGTCTCTGGGGAGAAGAAGAAGAAGAAGGAAAAAAAAAAAAAGATTGGCAACAGATGGTAGCTCAGGTGCCAATCTTTAAAATGCAATTGACAAAAATCCAACTCAAACTAGCACAAGAAAACATATAGCTCATATACTAAAAACCTTCGGAGCAGGGTAGCATTCAGGCAGTTCTGAATATAAAAGATGTCATTAGGATCTGTCTCACCCCATGACTCACTTCTGGGTTTCTTTGTTACTTTCACTATTGAGCAGGCCTTTTCTTTTCTTTTTTTTTTTAAAGATTGACAGCTGAGCTAACAACTGTTGCCAATCCTTTTTTTTTTCCTGCTTTTTCTCCCCAAATCCTCCCAGTACATAGTTGTATATTTTAGTTGTGGGTCCTTCTAGTTGTGGAATGTGGGATACTGCCCCAGCATGGCCTGACAAGTGGTGCTGTGTCCACGCCCAGGATCCAAACCAGCGAAACCTGGGCCACCAAAACGGAGCACTTAGTGACTTGGCCACGGGGCCGGCCCGCTGGCTTTTTCAATGAGGTAGGAAAAGAGGCCAGTGACAGCTCCTAGCCTCATGGTCCTTCTGGCTTCCCAGTGGAAAATGTATTACTTTTCCACCATGAAAACAGGGAGACTCTGAGTCATGTACGCACCTCTGAACCAGTGTGGCCAGAGGATGAAGCATTGACTATCCAACTCAGGTCACCTGTTTGCCTTGGCCAGTTTAACCAAAACTATATGTAATCTGTTCTCCACAAGAAGAGGGGCATGTGATGCCAGAACGTGGGGAAGGGAAGATGGATGGGCATGCAAACTAACAAACAATGGATGTCCATTTGAGGTAGGAAAATTGGCAAAGTGCCAAAACATCGCTGACCGTTTTTAAGGGCAAATGTAGAATTGCAGACCTGAAAGATTAAAATAAGATACATAGATACATAAGATACATGTAAAATGAAGAGGAAGTAATTATGCGATAATATAAATAAAAGATGAAAAGACTGTAGTGTGTTGTTTGTAAATCAGTAGGGTCAAGTTTTAAAAGCAAGGAAATAGAAAGATGGATAAAAACTATGTATAGAATATGGAATGA